AACTGGCTTCTGGGGTGCAAGCAGCAGCAGGAGGGCACAGCGGGGAGGGGCATGTGCCTTCTGGATCTGTGTGGTGCAGGGTGGGGAGGGCTGCAGCCAGGGCTGTGTGGGGCTCTTCTTGGCAGGGGCTGGGCTCAGGGTGGTGGCGGCGGCTCTGGGAGGATGCTGCATCCACCTCAAATTTTGCTGCTGTTGCCAGCTGCCCAGTGCAGCCCTGGCATGTGGGTGGAGGCAGGACATTGAGCCAGGGCTGTGGTGGGTGGCTGGTGGCGCTGGGAGCGAAGCGGCATCAAAATTTTGGGGTGGACGCAGCATCCTCCCAGTGTCTTTCTCGAGCTCGGCCCCTGCAGACCGCCCTGCCCTGCCCTGCCCTGTACAGATCTGAGGACCACATGCTCCCCCTGTGCCCTTCCAGGGTGCAAGTAGTGGCAGGAGCCACCTCCTTCTGCACCCCCGCCCCTCCGAGCTGTGGCTCCGCCTCCTGCCAGGGCAGCGCCTGTTCCTGCCCCTCCCTCACCGCAGGGGGTGTTGATCTGCCCCCTTTCCCCTCCCCTCCCCTCCCCTTCTGCTACACTGGACTTACCAGTTGGAGGCAACTCTCCAGGCTGCCAGCTCTTTTCCTCTGCCTGAGTGCTGTGCTGCGGCTGTGCACAGCATGGGCATTTATCAGCCAAGTTATCAGCCCTATCGGGCTGGTATCTGATGCAGCCAATTTTCTTTATATCAGTGCCGATCTGATATATGTTAGAGGTGCACTGATGCAGTCTCATATGGAGAAAAGGGGGCTGGACAGGAAGCTTTCAGTTCCTGAACAGGAATTGAACTTGAAGCATTAATTCTGGCACTCAGTGCCTGCTGAGTCTTTGATTTTGTAAACTTTACATTCTTTTAACACACTATTTTGTATTTTAATTTCTTACTCTTTATTTCTTTCTTATTTTTAAGTACACTGGAAGCACATGGTGTGGGGATCAGGGGGTAGGAGATGACCAACAACAGACTCCATCTTGATATCATAAAAAGAGGTTAGAATACCAGAAGGGAAAATTGTGATCTTCTAGTCCAGGGGTGGGCAAAATCCGGCCCACGGGTCAAATCCGGCCTGTGAGGCCATTCTATCCGGCCTGTGGGGCCCCTAAAAAAATTCTGAAAATTAAAATTTATCTGTCCTTGGTTCCTGTCAAAAATGACAGGAACCAGGGGCAGTAGGACCCAGGGGAATCCTTGGCAGGCTCCTGCAAGAGCAGGGCCCACCCGGCCCCCCGGATGTCTCAGCAGGGTCTTCTGGCCTGGGACCACATGGCTGCCCTGGCGCGGGAAGCTCGGGTAAGGAGGGGGGAGGACAGGGCATGGAAGGAGCTGGTGTGGAGCGTGGGGAAAAGTAGCCCCTCCCCCACCTTGTGGCTGGTGCTCCCTGTTGCAGCCGCTTGCAGCCCATGCTGGGGCTGTCCTGAGCAGGCGAGGGCGAGGGACTGCTTTTTCCCCTACACTCAGCACCAGCTTGTAATCCGGCCCCGCTACCAGCCTGAGCCCTGCGCTGGCTCTGGGCTCGCCCATCAGGGCTGTTTATGGCAGCACCAGCTGCGGCCCCCCGCTTGCTGCACCAGGCAATGTTTGCTGCTGCTGCCCGCCTGGAGCTTGCACTGTGGTAGGCTTCAGTGAGGCTGCCACTGCTGCCCCTGTGCTGCCCAGTGCATGAGCTCCGAGTGGGGAGCAGCAGTAAATACTGCCCGGCAGGGCAAGCGGGGGGCCCGCAGCTGCTGCCCCCGCAAGGCCGCCCCCAACAGGGA